AAAGATATAGGGTAACTGAATGGAGAAGAAAACCCGGCCCAGATATATACAGTCTACAAGAGACCCCCCTCAGAAAAAAATACACACAGACTGAAAGTGCAAGAATGGAAAAAGATGTTCCATGAAAATGGAAACCAGAGAAAAGCTGGGGTAGCAATAGTTATATCAGGAAAAAATAGACTTCAAAACAAATGCTATCACAAGAGACAAAGAAGGTCACTATATAATACTTAAGGGATTGACCCAACGAGAGAATATAAACCTTATAAACATATTCATACCCAACAAAGAAGCACCTAAACATAAAAAAATCTTGATGAACATAAAGGGAGATCAATAGTAATATAGTCATAATACAAAATTTTAACACCCCACTGACATCAACAGATAGATCCTCCAGAAACCCCCCGGAAATAAGAAAAAAATCAGCAAAACAATAGCAGCCTTAAATGACACACTGCACCAGATACATTTACTTCATAGTTACAGAACATTTCATCCCCAAACAGAATATGTGTTCTTTTCAAGTGCACATGGGACATTCTCTAGGATAGAGCATGTTAGGACACAAAAGAAGTCTTAATAAATTCAAGGAGACTGAAATCATGTCAAGCATATTCTCCAACCACAATGGTATGAAACTAAAAATAAAATTTTTCAAAAAGCACTCAAACACATGGAGGCTAAATAACATGCAACAAAACAGTGAAGGATTAACAATGAGATCAAGGAAGAAATCAAAGGTTACCTTGAGACAAATGAAAATAAGAACCCAAGAACCTAGTATCTGTGGGACACAGTGAAAGCAGTCCTAAGAGAGAAATTCATAGCATTACAGACCACCCTCAAAAAGCAAGAAAAACCTCAAACAATCTAACTCTACACCAAAAAGAACTAGAAAAATAACAAAGCCTATACTGAGAAGAAAGGAAATAATAAAGATTAGAGTGGAAGGAAATAACATGAACTTAAAAAAAAAAACACAAAAGAACAATGAAACCAAGAGAGGGTTCTTGGAAAGATAAAGACTGATGAACCTTTACCAGACTCATAAAAAAAAAAAAGGAGGGACAACAAACACCACAAAAATACCTAAGAAAATATTACAAACAATTATATACCAACTGGGTAAAAATAAGTTACTAAAGACATACAATTTTCCAAAATTAAATCAGGAAGAATCAGAAAATATGAACAGATTACTAATGAACTTGAAGAAATAATTTTAAAATCCTAATAAATACAAGTCCTTGACTGGATGGCTTCCTAGATAAATTTTACCAAACATTCAAAGAAGAACTAACACCTATCTGTCTCAAAAACTAGTCAAAAAAATTTAAGAGAAGGGAAGACTCCCAAGCTCATTTTATGAGGCCAGGATTATTCTAATTCCAAAGCCAGATAAACACACTCAGAAAACAAAAATTATAGGCCAATATCCCTGATGAACATAGATGCTAAAATCCTCAACAAATTATTACCAAACTGGATCCAGCAATACATTAAAAAGATCATATGCCATGATCAAGTGGGATTTATTTGGAGGGTGCAAGGTTAGTACATTTGCAAATCAATGAACATGATATATCACATAAACAAAATGAAGGATAAAAATCACATGATCATATCAATAAATGTAGAAAAAGCATTTGATGGAATCTAGCACCCATTTATGATTTTTAAAAAAATCTCAAAGTGGTAATACATGGAACATACCTCAATGTAACAAAGGCCACATATGACAAACCCAAAGCCAACATCATACTCAACGGGCAAAAACTAAAAGTGTTCCCTTTAAGATCAAGAACAAAACAGCAATGTTCATTTTTGCCACTCTTATTCAACATAGTACTGGAAGTCCTAGCCACAGCAATCAAACAAGAAAAATAAAAGGCATCCAAGTTAGAAAAGTAAAACTGTCATTATTTGTAGATGACATGATATTGTATACAGAAAATCCTAAAGACTCCATAAAAAAACCACTAGAACTGATAAATTCAGTAAACTAGCTGAATACAAAATATTCAAAATTGGTGTCATTTTTATATACCAATAATGAGCTATCAGAAAGAGAAGATATTTCCCAATGATACATCTGATAAAGGGTTAATTTCTAAAATTTGTAAAGACCTTATACAACTCAACACCAAGAAAACAAACAATCCAATTTAAAAAATGGGCAAGTGACCTGAATAGACACTTCTCCAAAAAGGACATACAGATGGGCAGTAGATATTAAAAAATTGCTCAACATCACTAATCATCAGAGAGCTGCCAATTAAACTCACAGCTGTCAGAATGACTATCATCAATAAGTCAACAAAGAAATGTTGGGTGTGGGTGAGGATGTGGAGAAAAGGAAACCCTCCTGCACTGTTGGCAGACTGGTGCAGCCACTGTGGAAAACAGTATGGAGATTCCTCATAAAAAAATTAAAAATGGAACTGCCTTAAGACCCAGTAAAATTCCACTTCTGGAAATATATCTAAAAAAACCTGAAACATTAATTCAAAAAAAATATATGCACCCTTATGTTCATTGCAGCATTATTTGCACTAGTCAAGATTTGGAAGCAGCCCAAGTGTCCATCAGTAGATGAGTGAATTAAGAAGTTGTGATACTTTTACACAATGAGTTACTACTTGGTCATAAAAAAGTGAATCTTACCTTTTGCAAAAGCATGGATGGACCTATATTATGCTAAGTTAAAAAGGCCAGTCAGACAAAAGCAAATAACATATTTTACTTATATGTGGAATTTAATGAACAAAATTAACACACACAAAAGAAATTGGATTGTGGAAACAGAACAGACTGACAGCTTTCAGAGGGAAGAGAGCCAGGTAAGAAAGTTAAAGGGATTAAGGAGAAAACAAAACCCAGACACAGACAAAAGTATAGTGATTCACTGCCAAAGGGAGAGAGTGGTGGGGACTGGTGGACGAGGGCAAAGAGGGGTGAGAAGAGACTTGACTCTGGGTGGCAAGCACAGGATGCAGTGTGCAGATGATCCAATATAGAATTGTACACTTCAAACTTGTACGGCTTTATTAACCACTGTGGCCCCAAAACTTTCCATTTAAAAAATTGACTGACAAATTTGTGCTAGTAAATATAGAATTTTTCAGACAAATTAAACATTATTTAGAAAGGTTCTATAAAAGAGAGTATCTTTCTTTCTCTTAATGTGTAAATGACCATATAAATATCAGTGTGTTTCTGCCATTCTGATGTTGCAAGTATTTTACACTTCCCCACAACAGAAAGAAAATTGTTAAAGGCATTTCATGTAAACATAGCTCAAGATAATAGCACAAAAAAGACCAAAGAAACTTTCCAATTTTATTTAGTAATGAACAATATTTACACCTAGGAATACATCTGACATCAATTAAACTGTGATGAAGTATAATATATGCCCAGGTGAGAACTGTTATTTGTTTTTACTTAATCAAAGAATAAACAGTGTCAATGTTCTACAACTACTTTTCTAAATTTTTCAAAAAAAAAAAAAAAGCTAAACTACTTGAGATGAACACTAGATGAAGTAGAATCCTGTAACCAAAATCCTAGTTGTTATCTCTGCTTGAACACATTTTTATCAGAGGAGTTAATGATAAGGTGAGTGCATATATTTAAATAGAAGTGTTATCTGCCTTGGGTTTCATGAACTCAGATGGGAAACTGTTACATCTTTATTTCCACTAACCTCTGGTAATTAATATTTCCTACAGTTATGATTGTAGGAAAAAACCACGGACACTGTGACTTTGTTACCAATAAAATGATACTTTTATATTACATTAGAGTTGGTGTAGCTCTCTGGATCTTTTATAGTCAAAACCACTGGAAAAGCAGAGTAGTAAAACTGCCCCACCCCAATAGCTATTTAATGCATTAAAGAAATATACATCATGACACCACAAATTGTAATAGTTGTAACATTTTTTATTACTGTTGGTATTCAAAAGGAAGTCAATTAGCCCTGGCTGGTGTAGCTAAGTGCATTGCATGCAGGCCTGCAAACAAAAGGGTCACAGGTTTGATTCCTGGTCAGGGCACATGACTGGGTTGCAGGCCAGGTTCCCAGTAGGGGGCGCCTGAGAGGCAACCACACATTGATGTCTCCCCCTTTCCTCCTCCCTTCCCCACTCCCTAAAATAAAAATCTTTTTTAAAAAAAATTAAGGCAACTAGATCATTTTAAGTATGTAAAATAACACACAAGTTATTTTAGAAGAATTTAGGGGAGAGTACTAAAGAAATTCAAGGCAAAAAGATTTAAAACCTGTCTTAGAGAACACAATACTGTGTTTATGTGTTTCATTTAATTTCCTCTCTCCACAATGAGGTTGGTTGTTTTTGTTTTTCACAAAGTCCTCATCTTTTACTCCTGTCGCTCTAATGGCCATGCACTGGCATCGGGCCATTGTAGATACTGTACATTTTTTAAGTGCATTTTAAACAGGCAGATTCGACCTCTTCTGTTTTCTGTACTTCACTGATTATTGACCATCCCCATACTATTGAAAACCAACTCTTCCTTCCAAACCTCTCATTCTAGGTATATTCATTCTTTTCCTTCTACCATCCTGAATTTAAGAAACAAATTTAAGTAAATGCAGGGGTTTTGCCTCAACGGATGGCCGGGAATGGATGTGTCTGAGGGAAACCACACTTCACTTGTAGCAGAGGCTATAGGCCACTCCCTGACTCACTAACCCAGCCTCTGCCTCACACTTTCGAGAGCTCTCAACTTTTCACAGTAGAGTCCATTTTGCCCAGCAGGTAGACCTGCTTTTCTTTTAAACCCCTTTCACTGCAGGAAGGAGTGGCCTCTGCACTGGCTTGGGTTCATGTAGGTGTTAATCCCTCCGGTGACCCACTCTGATCTCTCGGGTCACCAACCACCAACTCAGAAAAACCCATTGCATGGAGGCTGCCTGAACGGAGCCCTTGAGTGGATACCAAGAAAATGTCAAAGGACCCGAGGGCACTTACCAGGCCTCCACAGAGGCTGAACACAGCTGTGTGATCCTCCCGAGCATTGACCTGGCCGCGGTAGAAGCAGTGGCGCAGGTCGGGGGTCGCCGCGTTGCTTTCCTGCGCCCCACGAGCAGGGGCTCCCAAATGCACCTCGGTGTAGCCCGGCGCCAGAAAGGCCGCGTCCGCACTCAGGTTCAGCTGGAAGAGCTGCCCGTAGGCACTGATTCGGTAGTGGGTCCTGAGCGGCGCGGGCTCCGGCGCCTCGGAGCTGCGCTTCCTCCGACTGAAGTGGTGGCTCTGAGGGAACACTTCACCGAACTCGTTGACCCGCGCTGGGGTCACCACTTCGTATGAGGCCAGTGTCCTCACTAGCGCTTCTGCAACCACAGCGACAGGGCCAGTGAGTCCCCCACGTGTTTCCAGCGCCCGACCCCAAACTTCTTTAACCAAACGTTAAAAGATCCAAGGTCCCAGGTTCCGATACACCCTGGGGACCGAGGAAGGCACACAGGATGGCGAGCGCGCGCGCACACACACGTGCGCTGTGTGTCTGCTTTCCCACACCCCCCCGACTCGCTCCACCCTCCCCAAGCAAAGGCCCTGACATCCACGGCCCTGAGCAGCCCACCTCCTTCCCCCATCCCTCTCCGTTTCCCCGCCGCCGCGAACTCCTGCCCTGCGAGCGCACGCGCCACCCTGCCCCACGCGCCCCCACCGCGTGGTCCCAGGGAGGAGTCGTGTCCCTGAAGCACGATTCCCCGAAAATCGAGGCAGCGGCAACCTCTGGGGATGCTTAGGAGGATGACTGATCCGGGAGCCTGGGAGCCCCTGCAGAGCCAGGGTTCCCCAGTGGGCTGAGCCGTTCACTCCCCCCGCTCGGTCCGGCTGTCCCACTCGGGCCCCGAGTCCGCACTTCGCTGCTGAAGGCGCCTCGCGGTGACCTTACCTTGCCTGGGATGGAAGTGAACTTCCCAAGACCTGGTGATGAAGAGCGAGAGCTGGTAGAGCAGCCCCGTCAGCCACTTGGCCACCCGCATGGTTCCACCAGGGAGATCCCAACCCGGGAGGCCAATCCCAGCCAGCCGGCTCGCCGCGCGCTCCGCTGCCTCTCCTCCCTCTAGCCCGCCGCTCCCCGCGCTGCAGCCGAGGCGCCTCAGCAGCCTCCGGAGCAGCTGCCCCGGCCCCGGGCCGGCCCGTCCAGCCACACTGCCAGCCTCCGCTCGCTGAGCCGCTGCTTCATCGCACTGCAGCCCCGAAGCCCCCTCCTCGCTCTTGGCAGCCTCGCTCCGCTTCCTGCGCCAGTACCGCCCTCAGAAGCTCTTCGCTTCAGTCCAGCTCCGCGCAAGGAAGCGACTCGACCCAGCAGAAACGATGCCAATATAGCTGCCCCGAGCCGGGCCAGCGCGGGGGAGAGCCCGCCCCCAGGGCCCGACCAATCGGCGGGAGGCGCGGCCCCGGCCGGCCCGAGGGCGTGCAGCCCACCCCCAGCTCGCAGCCGCACGCGGAGTAGCCGAGGTCCACAGATGATAAGTGTGCGAGGTTTGAAGTTCTTATAATGAAATAACAAGCATCAGATGGAAAGTTTCTGTTATTTATGTTTCACGGTAATTTCAGGCTTCTCAAACAAGATAAAATAAGCTACAGCAGAAAGTTATCGTAGGCCAGGCCTCGTTTGCCAGGGCCCCTGTGTCCGAGGAGTTGTTGGGGTTTAAGAGTGTTGTTAAGTGCTGAGGGCAAGCTGAGGTTGCAATCAGCAAGCACTTCTGGGTGGGAATTTCTGGAAATTGTTTAAAGAAATTAGAAAAGAAAAGGATCTAATTCTCCAAAGCTCAATAACTAACGGTCCTTTTAATATTCATTGTTTGTATTTAATGGGCATATAAAGGGGCCCAAAATTATATAAATGTTGAGCCCCAGAAAACTTGAATCTGCTCCTGCCTGTGAGTCAATATTTTTATGAGACTTTCGTCTGATGGTTTTACTTTTTTAAAAAACTGATCATATTTTCTTTATTTATAATATCCTCGTATCCACAATTACCTTCCAAAATAATTATTGCAGCTCTGAATCCACTCGTGTCACGCGTATCTATGAAAGGCACCTGTGTCTGCTGGCTGGCTCTCAGGGGCAGCGGAAAGCAATTACCATTTCAGAACTACTTTCTCATCTCCCAGATCTACCTGTTTGACTTTCGATTCTATAATTGCTTCTCTCCAAAACCAGTATGAAAACAAAGGGAAGGAAATAGTCAGATTGACTTGAAATTCAACCTAGAGAGAGAATAGAAAAGAAAAAGTAAAGGGATATATGGACAAATCTTCACAAACACAAAAGAATACACTCTCAATTTAGTCCCTGGTTGTCCTTCCTCCTGTGAGCTCTCAACAATGAAATTTCTGTTTGCTTTGAATTGACCTCTTGTGACAAGCCTCTTACTTGTACATCATACACTTGGTCCATCTGTTGCTCACTACAAAAGTGGAACAACGTTATAGAGAGGAGAGTTTCATCTTACTTTCTGCCAAGCAAATTACCCAGCTTGCATGGTAATTCTCCTACAATCAATCCCCTTCCTTTGTACACCTTTACACAAGTGTCATTTCATTCATCGCAGAATTAGACTTCTACTGGTGTTTTTCTAGATAAACATGCAGTTGCTCTAAACAAAACAAAAGCAGACTTTGCCAACACCTGTCTGTTTAGTGGTTACCTTCAGTACATTATAATTTAGTGATTTTAATTACATTTCAGCTGTGAATGCATCTTTACATTAGGAGTCATGCCTTCCCTCATACAAATAACAGAAAATAGAACTGCACCTGTTTAATTGGCTATCTGACCGCTGGCTGCAAATAGAGATTTCATCCCATTGCTGAATGTCACTCAAAGTAGTATTCGTAATGGAGTATTTGATTTTCAGCCTACTCTAACTACTTGAGGACAATATTTAAGAATATGGCTATTTATTTTCTTTTCAAAAAATAGGAAAATGTATGGGATGTGTATTCTATGTCATTATAATCTTTACCATGTTCAGTAAAAAGCATTGTTTCCTTATTTAATAGATATTACATTTTCATATATTATCTAAATAACAATGGTGGAGGTCCACAGTCCTTTCTGACTCCAATGTCTTTTTACTGTTAGACTATACCATTAGGATTGTCACATTTTTTGTCCTCTTCCTTTCTCATCCTCTACGAATGAAATTGTCATGAAGAAGCTGATCTGTGCCATTTAAATCAGGTAATTTCCTCACCTTGATCCTTACAGGTACCACTTATGAAATTTTATTAATAGACTAAGCACTATACACAGGACTTCAGAGAGATTAGCCCGTTTAATTTCACCTTCCTCCATAGTACTAAGAGAAATTGAGTAATTCACTCAAATCACATATCCAGTTAGAGTCAAGTTCTGTGGTTTTAATCTGTACACTTTTGTAAAAAAGTTTACTCCATGCACGCTCAAATCTAGTGCAATGCTGTTGTAACCAGCAGCTCAGAGAATGAAAGCCCTATTTACATAAAATGTACTTTTGTTTGGCTTATTGTTCCAATAGTCATTATAAATACAAGTTATGCTATGAGGTTGGCACAGTGTAGAAAAAATATCTTCAATCTTGGAAAGCAGTACTATGGCCATGTAGTCACTATACACAAGGTAGATCTTGTCATCCCGAGTCTACCCTCCCCAGCTGTGTAATATTCAATTTACCTGAACTTTATAAGCTTACATTTTATCAGTTGTAAAAGGAGGTAGTAATCTCAATCTCATGCAATTGTTAAGGTGACTCAAAGGGATCATGCAGGTAAACAAGCTTGGCACAATACTGAACAAAAATATGTGCTAAATTCATATTCATGCTGATTAGGATTATTATAATAGGTAACTGAATGCACCAAAAGGCACAACTATTTGAAGACAGACTGCTTTTCTAATATTAGTAGGTAGGAGATAGGATGATCAGTCTTTACTGTTTACCTGAGACTAGAGAGTTTCCTAAGATGCTAGCCTGTCAGTGTTAAAACTTGGGCAATCCTGGGCAAACAGGGATGAATTGGTCAGCCAAGTTCAGGCTTTCTCAATCAAGACACAATATTGACATTTGAGGTAGGTGATTTGTGGTTATAGGGGCTGCACTGTGTAATGGAGAATGTTAAGCAGCAGTCCGGCCTCCACTCACTTGATGCCTGTAGTACCCCACCCGTCATGACAACCCAAAACATTTTCACCTTGTCAAATCTTCCCTAGAAACAAAACTGGCCCAAGTTGAGACCCATTGACTTAACAGGGAGAGAGAATTGGGAAATGATAAAAGCACAGAAGTGGGTTTGGCAGGAGACCTCATAGATGCTGCTCCACTCTGAATTACAGGGGTCAGTTGTTTAGTAAAAACCCTTCGTATCTTGTAGCAGGTGTGGGAAATCAGTCATCATTGTAACTTAAATGGTACAAGCTATGGTCATTGTGTTAGTGATTTTTAAAGCATTGTTGTTTCCAGGTATGCAAGGAAGAATCAAATTCCTCTGCCCAAGAATTCTGTTCTATTTTTTATTGACTTACCTGCTGACCAGACTGTAAGGATCGTGTGAGCAGGAACTACAGACGGCCTGTTTGTGGCAGTGTCCCAGCGCCAAAGGCTGCGTCCTCACTGAACAGAAATAAATTAAATATTCATTGGCTAAATTAGTACTAATATTAAAATGTATAGAACCAAGGAGAACTGGGCAAATTGCCAGCCAATCTTACCATCTCTGTCTTAATTCAGCTATCTATACCACTTATATTTAATATAATAATATGTTTACATTCAAGTCTATGATCTTGCTGTTTATTTTATATTTTCCTATTTGTTATGTTCGTTCTTTTTTGTCTTCTTTTGGATTAACTGAATGTGTTTTACCATTCTATTTAATCTCCTTTATTAGTTATAACTATTCTGTTATCTAGGTGGTTACCCTAGAAATTAATTAAATTAGAATTTAATTTATGTATAATTCTTTAATTTATCTCTGCCTACCTTCAAGTGATAGTGTGACAGTTCCATTTCTTTTCTCCCAGCCTTGCACTATTGTCCCTATGCATTTAATTTTTGTAAGTGTTATAAATCCTACATTGCTTTTTTGTTGTTTTATTTCAAGTTATTTCCATTTGGTATCACTTTCCCCCTGCTTTCAAGGCTTCCTTTAACATTTCTTACAATATGTGTGGTGATGATGACTTCTTTTGAATTTTGTATGTCTTTAAAATTCAATATTTGACCTTTATTTTTGAAACTTATTTTTCCTGGGTATAGAATTCTAAGTTGAGGTTGTTTTCTTTTTCCTTTTAATACTTTAAAGATTTTAGTCTACTCTCCTCTTGCTTGAGGTTTTTCTAACAAAAAAATTGTCATTCTTTTTTTTTAATTTCAAAGCAATTACTGTTTATTAACTGGCCAGATTACAAAAATAACCATGGTTGATACCTTAGTTCATCCTTCTAATAAGCCTGCTGATCTGGCCTTCCCTGTTACCAGCATCTCTACCTTCTACAAAATGGGTGGTCTGTTTCTTCATCCTACCTTGTAGAGAATATAATTTGAATGGCCATAGGCAGTTGTTTGCCTCTTTGAAGCACTTTCCAACAGTATCGATCTCATGAATCACACCCTCCATGCAGATGATGCCATATTCACCAAGAGACTGAGCAATCAATGAAGTATCTATCAGGACAATTCATTTTTTGTTGTTGATTTTGCCATAACCATGCTTGTAGATCAATTCATTTACTGACTTCAGATTTGGATGACCCCATGTAATACATGCTTCCACAATCCACAACATGTTCATTGAAGTCTTGTTGCACTTAACAAAAGTGTATTGAAGATCTGGCGAAGGCAAAGAGGCTTCAGCACCTTTTGGACCTTTGGGCTCACACCTCTGACACCTCTGATCCTGTTGACAAATGCCAATTTGGGTTCCACCAGTACATGAAAGTTGCCAGCTTTTCTTGCCATCCTAGCCATTCAAATCTCAGTTCTGCTCATCTGCCCATATTCCTTGTGATAGTGCTTAGCTTTCTCATAGATAAGCTTCCTTCTTGCCTTTCGAAGCATCTT